CGGGTCGGGTCGGGTTCGACCCGAACCCGACGGGTTGACCCGAATTGACACCCCTAGGCTCAAGTGAGGGCGCGGTGGGCTCTATTGCCCAAGAGTACGATTCATTTTGGGAATTCAGGTGCACGGGATCTGAGTCATTTCGGGTTGATTCAAGGTTTTTAGGTTAATCCGAACCCGACATAATTTTAGGAAGAGGTTAGGAATTCAATCCTAAACCTAACCCATCTGACAAACGGGTTTATACCTAAACATGAACTTTTTTAAGTCAGGTCCAAGTTGGGTTTTAGGTCGGGTCTGTCACACCCCAGTTTTGCCTACCCCTTAACGGCCGATCTGAGAATAACAAAGAAGGAAAATCTAAATCGGTTCCTTCTTACTAACACTCATTCCGAGCCACCACTTTCAGAATAGAGCGAGTAAAAGAAATTTATTTAGACTCTCCTAACTTGCCAACCTATTTATTTTCATAATTAATAATATGAAGTATATAATGTCCCTTAATGAATATCAAACGTAATTGAACTAAATACAGAGCTCTACTAAAACTTTTAAAGTTTACTCACATAACCAAAAGTTTGTATATCTAGCCTTCAGATCTAGTTTTAAATCTCTATGTACACTCAAAACATATTTACACCAAAAGAACAATCACCTCTTTTTACTATCCCAAGTGCTCATTCCCCTTTCCTATAGTACAACCACTATTAATGAGCTATGCTCAATAAAATACATAAACAATTTATAAAACATAATAATAAATAATTAAGAAATACTTAACAATACTAACATAGTTAAAATACATTGAAATGTCATATTGAGCCTAAAAGTTCTTAGGAGTATTATTCATCTTGTCAAAACTATTTGATACATTTAAACAAGTCATATGATTGTTTTAAGATTTTGCATATTTTTAGCATTCTATTTCAAGGTTGGGTCAAACTTCCCAACTTTTAGAATGGAAGTTATTCTCTCATTCAGGATTGAGTCAAATTTCTCAACTTTTAGAATTGAGAGTGTAGGCTTACCTCATCGGGTCTTTCACCTTTACTTATATGGGCCTATCCTCCATATATAACTTATTTTACTTTTCATATAGTCATCCTTTTTAGCCCTAATGACATATATTTTGATGACATAGCTACGCAGCTGTCATTTTGCTACCCTTTACCTATCATTTTACTGCTCTTTTATTGCGCTTTTATTGTGCTTTTGTTGCCTTTTTTGTATTACGCTTTTGCTACACTTTTGTTACCTTTTTGCTGTGCACTTTTGTTGTGCTTTAACGACCCTTTTATTGTGCTTTAGCTGCCATTTTGTTGTTCTTTTTGCTGCCCTTTTATTGTACTTAAACTGCCCTTTTTTCTCATTCATTAGTTTACGAATATTTATCCTTTTATATTTACAAAATTATTAACATTGATAAAATTACTCTCTGTATAAATAATTTTATACAGATTCATCCATATTCAAATAAAATAAACTAAAATAAACTTAAATACATGCGGTCAAAAGTATAATAAAGATGAAGTATAATAATATAATATTTATTAATTCTTATAACCTCATTTAGGTATCTCACCTCGCTAAAAATTTGTTCTCCTAGATTTTGTCTTCCTTTCCTCTTGCATACGATCTCAATTGCACTATTTCTTATTCTATAAAATCCTTTTCCTTTCCTTCTAAGTCTTTTTTTAATGTTTTATGCTACCATTTCAGCCTTAACATATTTTTAACTACCATCAACAAATAACAATATTTCCCTTATTATTTCTTGAATTTGCAGCACTAAAAGCAGTATTCATACTTAGATTAAACAACAAATGGCACTTGATTTCAGCCAAATAAAGTTTTTAACTACTAACTAAAATATTTGCATTTACCTTACCTTAATTCGCTGAAAAATATTTATGGAATTCTTCCCATAGCATTTGACGGCCTGCAGCTCCTTCGCACAGTAAGCCAGCTCATGGGAAATGAGAGAAGAATATTAATGTTGTATTACTGAGGAAAATTCCTACCCACTATAGGATTTATGCTTTTTATTCAGATTACTTTATAATTTAATCTCTAGTGCTTTTCCTACTACAGGCTTCCCAAAAATTTCCAGCCGCAGGATCTAATCTAGCAAATGCATGATTTGGTTAGTGGAATGTAGAAGCTATAGTGGAAATAAAGTACAGTGACATATGTAACAATTATAATTATACTAGTTATGCATATACAATTGATTTCATAAGTAACATATGCTTCAATTAGCATATAAAAAAAATAAACTTGCCTTTACTTGAATATTTTGGGCATTATAGAGTCAAATATTGATACCCCTAATAGTAAGTCTAATAATAGTTTATAACAAAAACGGTAATCATGTAATCATCATCTATGCTACAAAATAGATTTTATTATAATTTTGCTATAGTAAGTTATATTATATTTTATTTCCTTACTAACTATTTCATCAATAATGAAGTTCAATATATATATTATTTATTTAATCTTTCTTATTTACATTACATGTATGTTGAATATGTTTAATAAATTGCTTGTTCAATAAATTAAAAATTTTCTTATTAATATTAAAATTTTAAACTTCACCAAACAACTTTGTATTATATTACTTTTGATTATAACAAATAAATTCAATTATCTACTAACACTGTAGGAAAATCATTTATTACCAGTGGAATTTTCCAGCGAAAATTGATCATTTACCGACGGTTTTCAAATTTACCGGCAGTTTTCCGACGAAAAAAAAATCTGCCTGTAAAACCCACATTGATTAGATTATAAATCATCTCAAGCACGAATCTTGATTCACA